TGTTAATCGGTTAACCAGTTGCAGTGCAAACTGGTTAATCGATTAACCAGTGCAAATTTTTAAATTTTCAGACATTTTTAACTGGTTAATCGGTTAACCATATGTGTTAACCGATTAACATTGTGCCAGAATGTCATATTTGTTGTTTTTTGAGCTTGTTTTAGTATCACCTCACTTTGAATCTTCATGGATCAGTATGATGCATTTGAGTGAGATGTTTTGGATATTGTGTTGCTGTTCTTGATTGTTTAATCATGATTCCTTCGACACACGTGTTCGATTTTCACTTGAATGCATACTTTTGTAGTTGTTGTTCAAAGTGATGAGTGTTATTCTTTTGCTTTGCTTGAGTATGAAGAATGGCTTGGTTGAGATGTGCTTGTGGTGGCTGCTGTCCCACACCTTTTTCCTCCCACTTTTCTTTGGTGATTGATGGTCGATGTTCGTAAGAGCTCGCTTCTCCCATTTCATCTCACTTTTGCTTGAACTTGTTTAAGTTCTTTTTGCTTGCATTTCTCTTTTGTTTTGCATCCCTTTGCTTGGTTTCAAGAGGTTGAGATGTGCTTGTGGTGGCTGTTGCCCCACACTTTTTTCCTCCCTCTTTTCTTGGTGTTGCATTTCATGGTTGCATCTTTTTCTTCCTTTTCATTTGTGATTGATTTATCTTGTGCTTACTTGGTTTTCTTTGCCATGATCCCTTAGGATTCCTAGTCCCTCGGGAGTAGGAGAGAAATTAAGTATTCAATCCAAGCATGCTAACATTAGGATAGTTTTTCCCCTTCTCAATCTCAATCATAGGAGCACATTGCATGATAACATTAGGGTTGAGTTAGTTTCCCCTTAGTCTTGTGTCTTCTCTTCTCATCTCAAAACTTCTTCAAAACATCTAATAAAGGGTAATAAGTGTTGTACGCTACGAGCCTTAAGAATTTGGGAAATGACGGTTGGGGGGCCTCCTCTCATACCGTCTAGAGTGTTTAGCATATGTCCTTTAGACGATATGCAACGCATTCGCTCCTAAGTCATAGTCTTTAGTGCAACATGAATTACAAACACAATTCAATTCACTTATTCTTCATAAAAGACTCAAAAACAAACATCAAACCTTTTTTTTTCCTTCAGGATTAATTGAAAACCATTTTCAAAGAGAGTGTTGTTAACTCTTGGTTCTACCGCAAACAGGTAACGCCTAAGTCTCCAATGGTCGAGCAGCAATACACCTAACTTCTAGAACGAAGGTTTAACCCTACTCGGTTAAAACACTTGAACCAACCTGTGGTCGTGTTAGCCCGAACTATGTTTGCTCTGATTTCTCATACCAGACGAGGATACATAGGCACAAGACGGCGATGTCTTGGCGAGCAACCTTCCCCCACATTCACCCGTAGTTTTCCAAACTACGTTGACTATGACTTTCCCATTGTACGAGGGAGTACGTAGGCATAGAAGGGCGATGCTCTATCGAGTCTCTTTTCTGTTCTTTTTGCCCTGTGGCCTGTAGCTTAGATAGATTAACACCCTTTTAGATAGACAACAAGCATGGATCCCGTTGAGTACAACGGACATGAGGAGTGCTCATACCTTCCCCTTGCGTAACCGACTCCCGAACCCAAGATTTGATTGTGATGACCTGTCTTTTCCCTTTTCATAGGTTTTCTCTGATCGTTTCCTTTCCCTCTCTTTGGGATAAATAACGAACGGTGACGATTCTTCTGTCTTTGCCGTCATCTTTTTCGCAGTAGCGACAATAACCTCAAGAACCCTAGATATAAAAAATAAAATAAAATTGCACTGGTAGAAACTTAATGGACAAAAAGTTAGGGGTATCCTTCAACACAACAACACGCACGAACCAGTAACAAGATTTAATGAAAATGATTAAGAAATGTACAAGTTCAAAGTTGAGCAGCAGGACTTGAAGATGAAACTCGTCCTCCTTCCTCAGAGCTCCTCTTGGTCTACTTCTTTTTGCTACACCTTCTCTATATTCCCTACTACATATATGGGCAGAGAAAACACCTTAAGAGCTTTTGTATCTTTTTGAAGGATTCGGTTTGCAGAGTGGTTTTGTAAGATTTGATTAGGGTAAGCTTGGCTGTTAGGGCTCTCCCAATGGAGGTGGGATTGCTTCCTATTTATGGGGCAGTGGTGTATGATGAGATAGAGGGTCATATTTTGCTTCACATGGAAGAATCCGAAAGTGATAGGTCATTTGTTGTAATAACTTTTCTATCTTAGCAAAATGGCCGTTGGGAGTGGAATATCATGTGATTTTGTCTGGTAATTCTTGTGTGATTATCCAACAATCGTTTTTAATTGATGAGGTGTCTTAGTTCTAGAATAATCTAAACTTTGTCTCATATGATCTTGCCTTGGAGCAGTGAGTTTTTTGGTGCCTTGCCTTTATATCATGCGCATGAAACTCCCTCATTTGATGTGATCTTGGGGCAGTCTAAAAAGCATGCCATGAAGTGAATTAACTCCAAGTTAAATGGGCCCTAATGATGCATGAGTTACAAGGAAAATCACCATGAATATGATGTAATGGAATCTTCATGAATCCGTGTTTCCTTTGGATTTTATTGTGCCTTTGAACATCATGTACTCTTAGATCATAAATCTTTGCATTGAGTGGTTTGGAACATTGAGCACCCAAGGAATGACCTATAATCTTGAGTTTGGAATCACACAATTTCCATGAGATAACATGTGCACAAAGTGATCCATGATCTAAACTATGATTTTTGTCAAATTCGAAAGACCATAACTCGGTGAATATTGCTCCAATTCATGAATTCTTTGATTCAAATAAAAGTAGGGAACAAGATGAACAAATTTCATGTTCAAAGTATCTTGTAATGATGTTTAGAAATATGAGAAAAAGTGAGTAGAAATTGGATGTGCAAATCTGTCCCAAATAACTTAAAGATTTTTCTAAGTCTTTGACTTTGACATCTTTAGATCACCATTTTTGAATTCACATAACTTGAGGAGTTTTGATCCAATGTAAATGTTCTAGTAATGGATGAAAAGCTTGAAGAATGCTTTTCAACTTTCATGTTGTGAGAAAACTCAATTGAAGTCAAGAACTTAGTGAAAAATGTCTTGGAAGTTGGGTTGAAAAATCTGTCTAACCATTTGTTACTTTTGACAACTTTGAAACCCTAATTTGGGAGCATAATAACTTGAGCTCTACACACCCAATGGAGATGATCTAGTACTAAAAAAAATCTTGGAAGATGCTTTACAACTTTCATATTAAAGGAAAAATCATTTGAAGCTTGAATCGTCATGTAAAATGGGCTTGAAAGTGGGTATCTCAAACTGATTTTCTATACTTTTAGAAAAATTTCCAAGTGTTGAAATGTCATAATCTCCTTTTTCTCAACTTTAGTTCATCATATCTCATAAACCATGAATCGTTTGGACATTTTTCCTTCCACAACCTTGTAGTTCATGATGTCCTCTTTAATTTGATAGCAAATTTGCCTTCATTGGATAAACAATGAGAAAGTTATGGAAGTTGCAAGATGGCTAGAATTAGGGTTTTCTACACTTAGAAAATTTCAATTAAAACCCTAATTTAATCAAACTCTTGATTTTATGTTTCTCATTGACTTTTCTTGTTTCAACCACATGAAATCACTTAAAAACAACTACCAAGCCCTTGATTGACCTTGAGATTCAAGATTTTGACCTAATTGAATCACAGTTGACTTTTGTTGACCAGATGAAACCCTAAGACCATTTCCATTGGCTGAAGCTCTTATGATGACTTGTGATGACACATAATCCATGTACAGGACACTCAAGGTGTGTGTTGAGCTTTGGAATCATGTCTTGCCCAAGGAACTAGTCACAAGCCTCCTTTGAATAAAAATCTTCACTTGTTAACCATGAGATAGAAGGAAGAGAATCAATGCTTGCATCCTTGCTTCAAGTAGTTGATTGACATGCCTTGATGATAATGGAGACTTTGTGATTTGACGTTGACACAAAGTTGAGCTTGAGCTCTTGATTGAGCTTTGAAGATGAAGCTCTTCTCTTGACTGTTGGATGAGATTCCTTGATTCCCTGTCTAAGATCCATCCTAGGTGTAAATGCTAATGCAAATGATAATGATATAGAGGTTAAAAGTTAGGGTGAAAATGAGGGTGTGACAATGTCTAGTCAGGTTTTTATGATAGGTGACTAAACAACCACCTTCACTTCCCTCACATGCCTTCTTTATGTGTATACTATCAAGTTTTTCTATTTATCCATTTCTCTATTATCATAACGTCTTTCAGAACGTAAAAAAGAATATAAAATTTCACACATTTAAATTATGATTAAAAGAAATCTTAAACCATGATAAAATATTTAATTTACTATACTTAAATAGTAGTTAACTTAGGCTTTAAAAAACTTAAAACGACTATCTATCAATTATCTATCATGTAAATAATGAAATTTGAAAATAATGTCTTCAACTAATATGACCAACCATGACTTTTCACTTCATGAATCATCTCAAAGTTTTATATATTTTAGAAGCTAAACTTGTGATTCACTCAAAATATTACTTACAAACCAAAATGCCACTAAAGGTAAATTTCATACATATAGATTTTTCCTATGGTCAAAGTAGTGAAAAACAAGCCAACTTACAATTCCTCAATGTTCCAAAGGAGAAACCATCATGACCTTAAAATTTGCAGCATAGCAACTTATTATTCTTTGAAGTATGAACAAAGTAATCATCATATGTCACACTCTCCAAAAAGTTACAAGATACAAAAAGAGAAAAAAAAAACAGTATCAAAAGTTCCTTGTAATGTAAGCTACTTGAAGAAGAATGAGAGCAGAACAAAAATAAGCTCAAAAATCAGAACATGGTTCCTGTAAAGAATTAATGAAACAACAGCAAAACAAATTCTATTTCTATACAGTTTCAAATCTTCACTCAAAAGTCGAATCGACCTGAATTAAACCGAACCAAACTGAACTACGAACTAGTGCTAGTTTGATAGTAGGCCTACCATTGCCTCTTGCTTGAAGTTACTTCCATCTAACCACCATGGTGTGTAAATCTCAGAATGACCATTTCTTTCATCAACAATACTTGCATCAGCAGGAAGATTAAGATCCAGGAAGTTCCTTATTTCCGAAACTTCTTCGACAGCCATGCCTTCACTTTCTAAGATTCTTCCCTCATCAGGAACATTGATCTTCATATCTACTTCCATTTCCAATTCAGCAATGTGTTCATTGTCACTGTTTTGATCAACTTTTGAAGCAAAACATCCTTTGCTCCTCTTGTGACTAGCTCTATGACCTCCAAGAGCTTGATATGAATGAAAAACTCTGTTGCAAGTAGCACACTCGAATTTTCCTCTCTTACGGGATTTCTTCGCGCCGATTTCAACTTCAGATGAAACCTTAGTTTCACAATCATAAAATTTTTCCTTCATTGAAGTATACTTCACTTTACTAGTGCTACTAGTACCTGGTTTTGATCTTACTTCGACCAAAAATGCTGAATCAGAATCAACCTCAATCTTCACCTTATTCTTCTTATCCTTTCCATTCTCAATAACAGAAACTCTTGTTTTCTTCATCTTCAATCCATCGTTTCCTTTACTATCTTCATCAAAAATTTCTAAGCTTTTCCCTTTATTATCATCATTATCAGAAGATTCAGCAATCGAATTGAGACCACACCAAGATCTTACATCTCTACTAAGCATCATCAAACTCATAGCAACCTCTTTTTGTACATGTTCTTCTTCCTCAGAAACCGAATTCGCAGCAACAACAGAAGAGGAACTGTTACTATTTAAGTACCTTGTTTTCAGTCGTCTTTTCGATCTTCTCTTTCTATTTGGAAGAACAGCAGCAGCATCAGTATTAGACTCTTGTTCATCCATTTCAAAACCATTGTTCTTACTACTTGAATGACACTTCATGTGACCGAATAAAGCTTTCCAAGATTGAAACCCTCTACCACATTCTTTGCACAATTTATCCAAAACAACATCAAAAGTTTCTTCTTGATCATCACTAGTTGAATCAGTGAGTACTCTCCAAGTTTTCTTTGGATTCTCTCTAAGACCATAATACCCTTCAGAACAACCTTCTTCTTTCTTCACTGTTGAAGCAGAAGCAACAACAAAACTCTCATCATCATCATCATCATCATCATCATCACCATGATGATGATCATTGGTTTTCACATGATCATGTGACCTCATGTGACCCCCTAATGATCTACCACATGGAAAACTCTTGCAGCAGATTCTGCAAACGTGTTTAATCACTTCTTGAGCTTCTTCCATTGTTGATCCTCAATTTCAAGAATTAACGAGTATCAAAAAATTCTTGATCAGAACAAAAAAACAGCAAATTGAAACTGAATTGGGTTATCAAAAGGTGAAAACGAGCAAGACCCAGATGAGATTATCGAGTGCAAATGATCAGAAGTTGAATCAAACCATGATATCTTGCAAAACCCATATCTGAAATGAGATTAAAATTTGAACTTTCAAACTCAATAAGTGCGCAAAATCGATCTAATAAAGGAATAGAAAGAAGCTATAGTAAAGCTATGTATAGCATTTTGAAGATGGATTATGATGAAGAAGAAGAAAAAGAATGAAACTTGGAGAAGTGGAAGAGATTTACCTTTGTGTTTGTTGGTGATGAGAGCGATTATGAGAAAGCGTAGCGTTTGTTTGTTTCTTTTATTACTTTTTTTGTCTCTTGAATTGGTTATATGTATTTGGATTTGGAGGAGAAATCCATGCATGGAAGCAAAGATTCTTAAGGATCAAAATGCAAATATAGAAAGTGGGAGAGATGGTGTATTGAAGTGAGGATTCTACGCTACTCCTTAATCCAATGGTATGAGAATTGTCCATGTTGGAGTCCTAATACTTTGATGAACTTGCTATAAAAATCTATGATATTCCTTTCTCTGTCTTGCTATGATTTGATTCAATATGATTAAAATGTTAAAGATATTTCTAAAATATTTTTTTAATTATTTTGTTTGATATAAAATCTCTATGATATGATACACCATTTTTTCTTAGTTTTTATTTGAAGTACATAATTAATTATTGTATGTAATATTTTTAAATAGACATTTTTATTAAGAATGATTTATCATATGAAAGAAAAAATATGCCACAAATTTAAAGGAATAAAACTTATAAGTTGTGTTCTTTTTTTTTTAATAGTGCACAAGTGATTACACCTCAGCCACAATAAATATTATTCGGTGTTTAGGTATTTGAAAACTTTTTGTACTAAAGTGGAATCACATTTCATTTGAACGGTTAATTGTCCCTCTCTTTCTAGTCCTTCCTTATTCAAATGTGGAATTTTATATTTATTAGAACCTTCATGATCTCTATCATGCATAATTGCAATGTTATAGATATATGATTGAACTTCACATATGAAAAGTTTTCAAATGACTTCACCGCCGCACAAATAAGTTCATCAATAGTTTGAGGGGACTCCTTGTGTTGTAATGAATGTATTGTATTGAAAAATTCAAGATCTAAGACATTCAAATCAGGAGATTTGTAGGTTGACACATCAAGCGAATATTAAATCCATCTTGTGTGGCCTCTTGAATGAACTCTTGATCATTGATTAATATGAGTTCTTGCATTATCTTGTTGGATAAATATTATAGTACCCAAATCATCTCTTGGTCATTTTTTCTTTATAGTCGGCAAGACTTTTTTAAATAAATAATGATCTTATGACATCTCTATTTACCGATGTTATTGTTTTTGTCTCTATTGTTCCTACAACTCGATTAACATTTGTCCTTTTAGCAGGTTCCTTGGTAACAAATGAAAAAAATACCAATTTTATCTGAAAAAAATCTCATTTCCTTGCGAATCAAATCTTGGTCGAGTAAGGGCAACTAAAATCATAAATTTGGCAATAAAATTTTTGTTTTTACATGTACAATGTGGTTCATCCTCCTCTGGTAGCAAATAATAGTTCTCAGATTTTTAAGTCGTGTAAAACCACTTTTCATCAATATGAATAATATTGTGCATATTTATAAACATTGGATCCAGTGGTATACCTTCGAGCATTGACAAACAAAACTCCAACCTAATTCTCTTATTTTCTTTTTTTTAACAGTGGCTTTATGGCATTTGACTGACGTCGTATAACTCTTGACTTTAAAAGCCTAAACACAGAAGTTTGATTTGTTTTCAATGCAAAAGATAAAGATCGGATGTTTGTTCTTTGTCTCAAAGGAATTTGATTAATTTGAATATGATTAATTTAAATTCTCTCACGTCCGTAATTTTTTGTCTTCCTATGAAACACATCATGTATTTCACTTTTTTTTTTCTCTTTTTTAAATAAATTGAATAGTTCATCTAAAAACAGTTTTTTGTAATATCTGGTGATAAATAGTTGTGCGTTCTTAAAAAAAAATTATTTCTTTCTATCAATTTAGTTCATCTTTAATATTTTCTTCTGTTTTTAGTACACCTTTAAAAATTTCTTCACTATTTGCTGCATCTTCAATATTTTCTTTCATATTTAGTACACTTATATTTTCTTCACTGTTTGATACATCTTCAATGTTTTCTTCCATATTTAGTACACCTTCAATATTTTCTTCACTATTTGATGCATCATCAATATTTTCCTCACAATTTAATTCATCTTCTACAATATTTTATATACCTATAAAATTTTATATACCTATAAAATTTTATATACCTATAAAAGACAATAGAAAAAAAATTATATTAATCAAGAAATATATTTTTAAAAAAATACTCCATGAAAAAACAAATTATTTATATACTTTTAGAACAACAAAAATGCATTAAAAAATCACCCTACGCAACAAAATTATTTATTTTTTATTGTTCTTAATTGTTACCTATTTGATTATTTTTTTCTAAAACTACTCCCCTGCTAATTGATTTGAGGTTTTATTTAAAAAATATAATCATATGTTATTTTAAAAATAAAAATCAAATATTCAGTTTTTTTATCCGGTATATTTAGTTATTTGAAATCACATTTTTTTCCGTATGCAAAATCAAAATTGACTATCTTTAAAATAAAAATAATACTTAAGAAAAATTATGTTGTTAATAATGATAATCATTTTATTCATTAAAAAACATTAAAAATCTTCCTACGTAATACATTATTCAATTAAGTTCATATTTATACCCATAAGTAAAATGTATTTTTCAAAATTATTTAATTTTTATTGTTCTTATCGGTTACCTTTTTAATTGTTTTTTCTAAAATTACTCCCTTACTAATTGTTGAGGTTTTATTAAAAAAAATTTAATCAAATGTGATTTTACAAAATTAATCAAATATTTAGTTATTTAAAATCACATTTTTCATTAATGCAAAATTAAAACTGACTATCTTTAAAAGTAAAAATAAAAATTAAAAAAATTATGTTACTAATAATGATAATCGTTTTATTCATAAAAAATACATTAAAAATCATCCTACACAATACATTATTCAAGTTCATATTTATACTCATAAATATCTTTTTCAAAATTATTATTTTTTATTATTCTTATCAGTTATGTAACACCCTTCTAAACCCTGCGGAATATATCATGCATCTCAAATAAGGGTGTCACATATAATTCAAAACATCACACATATACTTGTCATGTTCAATAACACTTAAAATAAATTAATGCTCTTCATATACTTTCACATAGCATGTAGCAGTGGAATTACTTCAATCATAAATTAACATAACGAAAGCCCCATGATCAACTCATTCATAATCATCATTTAGGCATAAAAGTTGATACTCCACATTATTCAAATAACAAAAACAAAATAAAGTAGAGTACATAAAGTATCTCTCAAAACATGAATTGAAATGTTCCCAGTGTTACATGATCAGAGCACGACTCAACCCAAAATAAATAGAGAAACTAAAACAAGCTACTCCAACGACTACCTCGCGCTAGAAGCAACTCTACTCCTCGGTACCTGAGCGATGTCGTACAAAACATCATTCCAACAGAAGGGTGATGATTCACATAATTATCGAAATTATAAGATAATATATAATTTATGGCATACAAACATAACATAATTATTCTCACACTCCAAAAGCTTCATCAACATATTATCACTCAAGTTACCATACTATTCACAAGTACATACTCACAATTCTATAATTCATCAATTCATCAATTTCACATATTTTGCATAATCTCATATTGCAACATATACACAATGTGACTCAATGCAAGACTCAAATGCAACTCATGCATGTGGTACCAATCACTTGTTATTATTTTTTGGTTTTTACATTAAACCGTGTCTGTTCTCTAGACCAATAACACACAAAAAGCTCATTCTCTAAGCTTTTAAACCCCGCTCTAGGTTTGGAACAAGTCACTAGTTCCCACGAAACTAACAACCATTGCCTCTTGACAACAAATAATGCCTGTGCAAGTTCAACAACCATATGCAATTAAGATCATTTCCTAATATTAACATTCATGCATATCTTCAATAATTTGTCACACTTGAATTACCATTCAATTACACATACTTGCACATTTTTATGAATCATTCACGCACAATTCACTTTCAAATAATATACAACATATTTTACAATACAATCACAACTGTATTATCATTACAACAAGCAATAATTATCATGCATCTCATGTTTTCACATCCAAATATATTTATACAAGCACACACACAAGTATTCAATAAATTATCCACAAATAATTTTACAATCGGCAGCAAACAGCACAACAACCATTAATAAAACATATACACAGTTGGATTTCCAAACATATTAGATATAAAAGTATTGGGCAACTAACTCGCTTATTTATACTATGTTATAGCCCTATTCATTAGCTTTCCGACGCTTCGAATAGGGACCAAAACGGACTTACAGATCAAAAGTTATGACCAAAATGATTTTGACCGAAAACATGAACAATCGTGATGGACAGCATGCAGAATTTTCTGTGTTTTTCACCGTTGGAAGCCTTTCGGACCTCCGATTTCGATTCTGTAAAAACCCAAACTCTCATAAAATTATAACCCATCCAGTACTGTAATTATCTCAAGTAAATTTGCATATTTAACACAATTAAACCATCTAATCATCGTTTTAAGGTTATGCCTAAAACCTTTTAAATTGATGGATATAGGTTCAATTCTCAAAAACAAAAAGAATAGACACATATAAAGCACACAAATTCATCATATAATCATCACATAACAACCACCATAGAAATTAAGGATTTTTTTAATCCTAAATATGATATTACCC